TGTGTCTGCAGACCATGCGCACCACTCCTTTCTGTGCCCATGCCGGTTCCAGTCGAGGGCGAGTTCTTGCCAAAATTGCTTCCATTCGGGGTTCCAGGCTTATCGCCGGCTCGGGTTGCACCAGGAGTCTGGCCCTCTCCGTCGTGCGCTCCCATGCCTTCAGGAGAATTACTGGAGCTGAACGGATGTCGCACAGCCTCAAGTTCGATCTGACCGCTTAATTCTTCGACGATGCCCTCGAGTTTTCGCAGGCGCTTCATCAGCTCCAGCTCCCGCTCGCTCGAAGGTTGTTTGGACGGGGCATTCGGATCTTTTGGTCTTGGCCGGCGCGGCGCCCGACCCGGGGCTGGGAAGATGCAGGGAATCTGTGCTCTCCGGCAGTTGGAGCATGGCATATGTTTGTCGCACCGAACCTGAAAACGTGTCAGCGGGTCCACAGCATATAGACGGGTCGGGAAAAGAGACAAGACGGCACGGGGCGCGAGTATCGGATGAAAAGACAAACCTTGCGTCTCCGACATGTTACACAACTCCGGGGGTTCAGAGCGCCAGAAAAGGGGGCCGAAGGAGGATAGACGGAAGCGCCCGGTGGCGGGTGATGGGCAACGAGATGATGTTGGTGAATATCGAAGCTATCGTGGGAGGGTCCAATGGATGGGTGGTCGACACATGGACTCCCCTCTGAGGCGACGCTAATCGCGCTCTGGCTGTCGTCGATAGGCATGATGGCGCGGCTTTGCCTGTCCGGCGAGTGTTGGGAGGATGGGATTCGATATAGACGTCCCTATGCGGACGTTGAAGCTCCACGGAGCACTGGCTGGCTGGCTGGCTGAGTGACTGCCTGACTTAACTGGCAGCCCGGCTAATGGCTCGACTGCCTGCCGAGAGGTCGAGTCGAAGGGGGAAAGAGCTCAGTCTTTGGATGGCGCCAACGTGGAACCCAATCTGGAGATTCCTGCTAACTTGATGGTAGTGGTTGGAGAGCGTCTCTGGCAGAGACGGGAATTGGCGGAGTGGTGGTTGCCAGGAGCTGGGCGGCGACGGGGTCGAATATGGGGATTTCGATGACAAGATCACCGTGGCGAGGGAGTCCGGTGGAGGAGCATTCAGGGCGCACAGGACTGACAGGGCAATGGTGGGATGGAGGGGAAAGGATGCACACTGCAATGGGCGTTCGTTTTGAGTGGTTCCGTTGCTGTGCAGCCGAGAATGTGCAGGTGGCCCGTGGATGATGAAAGCCGTGGGTGTTTTCTAGATCGACGAGAATGAGTGACCCTAGCAACTTCTGTGAGTGGTGGCAGCGGCAGCACCAGGAGCAGGAGCAGGCCTTGCACGGCAAAAGCATTGGACAGCCCGAAAAGAGACAGTTGCAGCCTGGCCCTGCCACTCACCACCAAAACCGCCGCCAGGAAGAGTGCGCAGTCGTCTCCTCTTCGAGCTCTGTCGGGACACACTGGGTGGGGCGAAAAGTGACTGATCTTTCGCATTTTGTGGGGATACTATAGGGTGCCAGGTACTGCCTTAACTAAACCTGCTTTGACTGTCTTGGCCGCCTGTTAGAAGGGACTCGGAGGTTCCTCCTGAGGGGGACTAGCCACTTCAGGCTAGAGCAGTTCAACATCGTGTGCTGGTGATCGATTGAACGATGCAGAATCGTCCACAATTTGTCGGGCACAGCATGGATGATGGATGTTGCAAAGATGAAAAAATCCGGAGAACAACAGGAAAGTGCACGTTCCAGCTTTGGCCAGTTTCAGGGCAAGGGGTTGGTGACTTGGTGGTGATTGCGTAGAAGCCCGGCTGGCACACATGGATAGTCCGAGTATCGCAGCCCACGTCCAAAATTCAAAAAAGAGTCCAGAAGCGAAACCATTCTCAGACGAGGGGTCCGATAGTCCTCCGACCTGTCCGGATTTAGCGCCATTGAGAGTGTTTCTCCAAAGAGCCGGGCACGGGGCGGTCAATGATAAGGCAGGTATAAGTGAAGCCCGCGATATCTTCCATGGTGACTCAGGGCCTCAAGTTGGAAAAAAGGGAATGACGGTCGTTGAATTCGAACAAGGCCCGTGCTCTCCTGTCGACACCAAGAGAAAGAGGAGAAAAAAAAGGTCATCCTGGTTGAAACATTTTCAGTGATGCAATCTGCACGGTGTACGTACCTAAGCCGAACCGGCTATGTATGATGTAGCATCCAAAGTGGCACTGCGGGGCCTTCTCCGTTAACCTTCTTTTCGATTTCTATCGGATAACGCTTGATCTCTGCGGTATCACTGGTCGATTTCGATGAATCCGGCTTGCGTGATTCATTCACCGTCTTTTTCTTTGGTTCAAAATTCTCCGTTGTTGGCAGTGGAGGTTACCTATCTTTCGTCTGCTCCTGCTTCAACCGCCAGGCCTCGTGTAAGAGGGGGGAGAAGACAGGAAGCTCAGCTGGCTGGTGTGGACATGTCAGTGTGCCCCCTGAAGTCTTACTCCTGGACGTGAAAGCCTATGGCTCAACGAGTCTTTCATGAGTGACATTTTGAAAGAGAAGTTGTTTGAGGGGCTACACGGGTTAATACTCATCTTACTTCCAACGCAAATACCGAACAATATGGGTCACCGTCGGCTTCAACTTCCTTGGAGGGGCACATGTTAGCAAGGTCCACCAAAGACTCTAACGGGATTAAGAGAAAGCCCCTACATGCCTTGCCTGGATGCCCAACAAGTCTTGCACATCACACAGAAGGACACGAGGATCCACAGCCGTCCAGAACATCGAGGTTCTCAAAAGAAATGCGCAAAGCTTGTTCTGAAAATACGATCACGTCTAGGCCCTTCCCAAGAGCGTCTAGGCTGTGATCGGAACGAGTGGAGGTGGCTCGGATGGGAAAAATGAAGAACAGATCGTGAACCAAAAGAAACCACCATACTGTAGCATAATAGCCATATCCACCCGAGCCGCCGCATCATTCAGCCTTCATAATAATCCAGCTGTAACAAAGAAAAAAGAAACCCAGAACTCCAGATGTGTATCTGGCTCAACCCCTGGATCAGCATCAACGCTCGATGTTGGACACCAAGCGCACGGGCCCTCCCCCTTTTCTCAGACCATGGCCACCACTCGGATGTAAACAAAACACGAGCTGACCTCCAGTATCCTCATCATAGCGAATTGCATGTCTCAAAGGACGGTGCATTGCCAGCCAGACACCTATGTGGGCTTCCTCCCCATCGATCGAGAACCACAATCTCAAAGCAGCGCCGAAAGACTCTCATGGTCCTTGAACAAGTTGACAATGGGCAAAAAGAGCCGCTTCTGGCCGTCTTCAGTGGCCATCAACTCCCTGAGCTCAGCCTCACTTCTCCACGTCCAGCTCTCGCACTTCTCCGGCTCCATTATCTGTTGTGGAGGAGAAAGACAGCCAGGTTAGCCTTTTTGTGTCCACACGTTGCGTTGGGTCTCTGAATCTGAAGACTGAAAAGGAGAAACCTACCACGGGCTTCTGCTCCTCATCAACCCTCCGGCAAGACACAAAGATGGTAATGTAGTGCTTGTCCTCCGCCGCAAAGATGTCGTTGGTGATGGTCACAAACTTGAGATCCTTGACCTCCAGACCTGTTTCCTCCAGCGTTTCCCGCTTGGCGCAGTCAAAGATGGCCTCTCCCTTTTCGAGATGGCCGCCGGGAAATTGTATTGTGCCTGTAAATAGGGAGTAGTGTGTAAGTTAAAAGTGATTGTTGTTATGGGAAAGATACAGAAAGTGCCATGTGACCTGTGATGAGGTCCGCGATGTCCGTGGGTCACGAAACAGGGAAGGGGAAACTGAAAAAGGGCCGGGGACCTGACTGTCCCTTAGATGGACGTTATGGGGAGAGGTACGTACCGGCTCCATGAGACCCCTTTCTTACGCCCACCAACACCTTTCCCTCTGCATCTGTGATGATCACCGCGACGCCCGTTCGGACAACATCGCTGGCGAGTTTTGAGGCCATCTTTTTCGATTCTTCCGACTGGCTTTTTCTTCTTTCTCCGGGTAGCGCTTTGGAGCTGAAATTTTCGTCGGTGGGTTGATATCGCTAGGAAACGGCTGGCTGTCCTGCTTTTCTAGTTTTCTTTCTATATGCGCTGTCAGCCAGTCTCACAAACTTGTAATTAAGAAAATGGTCCTTAGACGCCGTCGCGAACTACGTGACCTGAACAAATACTGCCTTTCGGGGCTGATGGGGTTCCCTTCCGGCTGTGCCCGGCTATGTATCCCCGCGCACTGGAAAGCGTCGACACGGTGTTGCAGTAACGACCCCGCGCCTGCGCCGCAAACCCCTAAAACGCCCAAGGGAATTGCCCATCAGAACGCCTGCCAGGGCAGTATTTTCCATCCGATCAGAGGTTCGGTATTTCCAAACCTTAAGTAGGTGGAAAGCCCTACCACCGCCCGTACCCTTTGTGCGACGACATCACCAACTCACCAACAACCAACAAACGACGTCACAAACAATCCATAACCGCCAAGCCAAATTATTCCCTGCGAAGCGCGGAGATTTTTTTCTTCCAAATTCCACTTGCCGCATCCTGCAACCCGCCTGTCAGATTGTCTTGGCCTTCACGTTGTCTTGGCCCCTTCGAAAACTTCTTGGCTTTTCGAACTTTCTTGGCCATCTATAATTCAGCTTGTCGCGCGCCTGCGCTTGAAAGCGGACCGCTAAACAGACACAGACAAGAAAAAAAAAAAAGCGGGCGAACGTCAGCCATCACTATCAGTTTGGTGCGACAGACGAGGATTGTGTCTGCATCATGGCGTGCACCAACCCATGTGCAGCCCCATGTCTTTTTTTTGGTGGAGCGACTCAGATCAGAAAAACGACAATTGTCCCTGGTGAAAGAAATTCTGGTTGGCAGCTGACAAGGAATCACAGAAGTCATGGAAGGGAAAAGATCAAGATTGTTCCTGATGCTTCTGTCAAAACATTATGAGGCTTCAAACGGGGGCGTTTCAGATAACAAAACACACCAATAAAAGGCCCGGCTGGCGCAATGGTAGCGCGCAAGACTTCTATATTCTCTCACCGAGACGATATCAGTTATCTTGAGGCTGTGGGTTCGACCCCCACGTCGGGCTTTCCTTTTTGCTCTTTTCCCTTCCTTCCATCGTCATTTTTCTTTAAGACCATTTAACTTTTTGCCTTGAAGACTTTATTTAGTGGTGCCGGTGTTCTTGGTGGTGTCACCCGTAAATCGTTTGTTGCCTCTCCATCTCCCTTTTGATGGGAATCACTCACTGCTCTCCATATCATCCATGCTTTAGTTGGGGGCCGCTTTACAAGGGAAGGTACCTCATTCCCGTCTCCCCTTTTGGACTGCCGACACCTCATACATATTCCCTTGCACTCCGACTTAGAACTAGTCTACAGCTAACCAAATCTATTCCCGAGAGACTCTCCATGCAAGCCGGAACAGAGAGCTTTCATACTTCGATCCATACCAACCACTGGTTATATATAGCATATGTATGTCAGCAGAATAGAAAGAAAACCACAAGGACGAAGGAAAGAGCTGGATAGATCGTGCGGCGAACGGTAGATAGTTCGTCGTTGTGACACCTCAGGTAGCCAGCCGTCTATAGCTTCACAGGACAAGAAGCTATTCCATGAGCACCGTATCTTGCATCCCGGACATCCCACGCCATTACTCATAGGAGTGTATTAACCAAGAGCCAAAGCTCCGTAAAACGTGCGTCTCGGCAAATCAAATTGCGAGCTCTGGAACAACTTCAACGAGCACGCCTATAATCGCTTTGTCAAGAGGATCAAGGTTAGTTAGTTCTCCATCTGTCAAGTGGTCAGCGGAGGAAAGCCTGACCACTGAAGACAGAATAGGTACTCTGAGTCTGAGCCATAAGGGCATTCTGTCACCGGGAAAGCAAGGAATATTGGCCCAGCGGGGTTTATCGCCCGAAGAAGATCAAGAGTACGACGGCTGAAGAGACAGATCCATTGCCAGTCCTTGAGAGGATACCGAACAATATAGGCCCGTCGAGGGGAGAAATAAACGCTAAAGCAATGCATTACTAGTTCTGTGGGTATATGTAGGAATGAGGTGAACATTACAGACGAAGAGCGGCTCGAAGCTCTTGTCCAGCTGAGGATGCCAGGCCTCTCTGCACTATCTTCCTGTACTGGAGGAAATGGGCACTCAATCGCTCTTGGCCCGGTTCCATGAAGTGTACCGCATACCGGTGGTGACCCATCCGAACCAATACCGGATGGCATCCTCCAGCCAGTTTTTGCCGTTCCTCCAGGGACCAGTATTGGCAACCAGAGGAAGTCTGTCACGAACTTCGGTGATGTAGGTAGAGCTGTTAGGAATACAAGGCTCCCTAGGAAGTCGAGCACGCTCGGACTCCTCAATATAGGGAGCGGCAATGGAAGCTCCCGTCTTTTCCGCGTGCTTGATGACTTTGATGAACTGTTTCGTCCTCGTGGATGCACCCGGAGTCCAAGTGGCTGCTATATAGCCGACAATGACGCCTGTATTGGGGACACCCTCAAGCATCACACCATTCCACATGTATCGTTGGCCCATGGTATCATTGATGCGAACGCCATCAACGAAGACGTCAATGTTGTTGAGTAAAATCATCTGCAGACCTGTGGCTGTGATGATCATGTCGGCCTCAAGCGTTTCACCAGACTTTAGCAGAATGCCATTTTCGGTCACTGTCTCAATATGATCGGTGACGACTGAAGCATTCGGCCCACGTAACGCCTTGAAGAAGTCTCCTCGTGGGCAGAGGCACAGACGTTGCTCGAAGGGATTGTACTGAGGGTTGAAGTGCTTGTCCACATCGAACCCCTTGGGAAGCTGCTTGCGCATGGCGTCAACGACAAACTTCCTGCCCCAGTTGGGGAAGTTCAGCAGCAGCTGGACAAAGATGGTCTCGGCGATCATCCTGATCCACCAGTTGATCTTTCCTGCCCATTGGTTCGGCAAGAACTTTTCCAAGAACTCTAGAAGTGTGTCTCGAGCCGGCAAGCTGAAGACGTACGATGGACTTCGCTGGAGCATAGTGACATGCTTGGCGGTTTTGGCGAGGGCGGGAAGAAGGGTGATGGCGGTGGCACCTGAGCCGATGATGATGATACGCTTGTTGTCGTATTGCACGTCCTCAGTCCAGAACTGGGGATGAATGACTTGACCCTGAAAGTTTTCGATTCCAGGAATGACGGCGGGCCGGGGCTTCTCGTAGCTGTAGTAGCCGGTGGCGTTGATCAGCCATTGGGTCTTGAAGATTTTCTTCTGGAGAACGGTGCCGTCGCTGGAAGTGACATCGACGTGTAGCGTCCATCTCTGCTCCTCGGTGCTCCAGCTCTCTGAAGTAACGCGGTGGTTGAAGCTGATTTTCTTGTCGATACCCTGAGACGCAGCAGCATCCTCCATGTATTTCTTGATGAGGTGAGCATCAGCCATGTTGGTGCCTTCGGTCCACGGATACCATGGGAAACCGAACAAAGCCATGGCACTGTCGGACCGTACTCCGGGATACTTCCAGAAAGCCCATGTTCCGCCAATATGGTCTCGCGACTCAAGAACAGTGAATGAGTGGTTAGGCAGCTCGGATTGCAGTAAGTAGGCGGCGTTGATGCCACTCAGACCTGCGCCGGTGATGATGATGTCGAAAGTAGCTTCTTCGGTAACCATGGTAGGAGGTTGATTCGGGGGTAGCACGCCCTGATGTCGGATTAATGTACAATACACGCGACAGACGGTGACCGGGCGAAGGAGTGTTGGATGGGCGTTTTATATACCCACCGTCAGCGCGCTCATCACAGGTTCACAACATCGCCAAATCTGTCGCCCCGGCCGAGGCGTCGCCCGCGTGTGGGGTTACATGGTCTGTGCAATCCCGGTCTTGTCGCTGTCCATGACGGAGCCGATCCGATGGTGGGCGTGGGAGTGATACAGCTGATTGCCAATTGGTGCTTATTGTCGGGATCATTCCGGCCGTTGTGTGTTTCTCGTTGCGATTCGCTGGTGTTATTGTGTCTTGGGATGCTACGAGATGACAAATGTTTGGTGTTTCTTTCTCATGACGTTGGGAGAGGAAAGAAAGCGACCGGGACAGGCAAGTGGAGATTGGATGAAAAATAGGACATTGAGGTTCTCAACCAGCACTGTACCTTGCAGGTACCTGCGCTACGTCACACGGCAAGATCCGCCCAGGCACCAACACTCCCGTCCGTGCTTGCCCTACAAATGCCAAGAGGTACCTGCGAAGTACCCGGGGGTTGCAAAGCACACCTCCTTCCATCATTGGGAATATCCATCTCTGCGAGCTCGTTCCTTCCCATCACATCGCATGATGATTGGAAAGAACAACAATTAACAAGAGAACGGCCTTTGGACTTGAAAATGCAAAGATAGGTGCCTACGGTCCTCGCAGGCAATGTCCTGGTCGGGGGATTCTCTACTCTGTCAAACTTCATCTTTCAACATACTCAATTCCATCAGCAGACCCGGTTAATAACCCACGGGCTCGTCCACTCCTTGTAACTGTCACCATAACTTTTGTTATTATCGCCATAAAACCTACAACCGAGAATAGACTTCTGGTCAAGTTCTCGTTCGCCTCGCCGTCGCTGAAAAGTAGCCGCGCCTCATCGACGGCATCCAGGAAACCTCCGCGTGCGAGCCGGCAACCGAGCCAATTTCAGGCTGGAATCACACAACCTGTTTGCAATTGTAGGGTTCTGGACGAGATATCACCACGAAATCATTGTTGCTGACTGTTAGCATCCTGGTGTAGAGCTCCTCTCTCTACCTAGCTTTTGAGCCCAATCACAACTTCAGTTTGTCGCCTCCAAACACGCGTTGCGGGTGTTGGAACCGTCCTCGACACATAACGACAATGTCTCAAACGTACAACATGCCCGATAAAACGGCATCACCTGCATATCCGCCTCCCCCAGGCCCCAGCTTCACACTTATACCCGCATCACCGACAGGAATCAAAGCATCAAACCGCTCCGACGAAGCACCTTCCGAAGCAACGTTGGTTCAGGACCATCTTCCTCAAAGTCCGCCAAAAACACTGCAACAAAACTTCCACAATCTAGACCTAGAGCCGCAAAGCGAAACCCCCCAAGATCATAGCCACCGCTTCCAGGGGCTCCGCTAGTGGCAGAAATACACCGAAAGCGATTTAGGAGATCAGAGAAGACGGCAATCGTGGACCAAGGCAGTCATGCCTCGCAACAAAGTACTGATGCTCAGCTCGCTGCTTCTCATAGTCCTTTTCATCTTAGAGCTTTCTATAAGTAAGGCCTTCCATAAATGATGCTTGTGTGGGCCAGACACGCCTTCAGTTTGACAAGTGCATGGGAAGAGTCGGGCAAAGGGCTCATGCGTCACAGTATACAAAGCTGATGCGAGGTGAGGCTTGACTTACAACTGTATCTTTACCTAACAAGCCTAAGTAATAGTAATCGACAATAGCAATACCACCGATACTGTGCTGGCTCGGTGCCTGATCATCGATCAAGAGATCATAAAGTATTGCAGTGGATCAATGGGTATCGAATCCTGGGTGTTTATCATCTTATCCGCTTTGTCTACACCGCCAAATGCTTCTCCCTCCATCAAGCCGTATATGTAAGACTCCCCAATCAACGTGTAACTGCCAGGAACTTCATAGGTTCCATCATCATTGTTCCTCAGAACAAATGGAACACCTGCGCTTAGAAAACAACAGACTTAATCTCCAACTTCAGATCCTTGAGGAACGACCCCGAAGTATCCCCCATCCGTCATAACCAACTGCCTTCCGGCCGTAAACAAAGTAATAAACTCAAAGACCTCCTGATCTGTTAGAGTTTCCGGTTTCATGAATGGGAGTCCATACTCATACGCAGCCCAAACAGGTGGATGAAATCGTATGTCTTGAGCTTTGGGTTCCCATAGTTGAGGTTTTGGAAGACATGGTGCTCCTGCAAGATATATACGCGCCTTGGCCGCGTCTTCGGATTTTTCATCCAAAGCCTCCCGATATAACCGCCATCTCTTCACAAACTCTTTACATTGGTCATTCCCAGCGGATCTTATGTCAATATCACCGCTGAGTAG